GCTAAACACCAGGTAGTTGTTCCACTACAAGCAGATGATGTTATGGAGGTAAACTTCACTTCCTATGTTATCTTAAAGACCAATTGTGATCGACCTAGTAAACTGCTGTGCCATACACTCGACCTTTTGTAAACAATCCAATATTTGACCGGTACCACAAGTGGCCTGAATTATCGTAAGTCAATCAAACTTTTTGTATTCCTTCGTAACATAATGTTGGAAAGTTAAGCCATTATTGTTTGTAACTGCCTTCCTACTATCATCATTAAATCACACTGGGACATTATCGATGACACGAACTAGTCGACGAATATATGTCACCGCCTAATAATACAACTCTACATAGCACATTTCTTTTATTACCATCTGGGGAAAAAAATCCCAATTAAATATTGTTGATAATCACTTGATACTAATATGTCTATGAAACAACTGTGTAAACAAATAAACATTAAAAAAATAATCAATAGATGAGGAAAAGAATATTTAGTTATTCAGTCCAACGGTCTTTCTGTGTGTGTGTGTGATTGTGTTTCTATGCAACAAACTTTGATCTCAGTTTTGCTAGTGAGATCAAGGTATAAAATCTAAATAAAAATGAAAACCAAAGTCTACTACTACTCAGAAAAAAGTATTTCAACACTTAAGACGATCTTTTCCTTCTTACTTTGATTCAAGAAAGGAACTAATAACTTTTCACTGTTTTATCAGCAAGGTATAGTCTCTTTACACATGAGTAAATAAATCTCATATACTGCTGCTAATAGATTTAGTCAATAATCCATTCTTGCTTCTAAATACATGTTTTCATTGATTTTTGAGTTATTGGTTTTGTGGGATTGGAAGAAAAATATACCTAATTGATTAAAGTAACAGATGAACGTATTTGTAGCCCACTATAGGAGGGGTGATTGTATTCACTGGAATATCCAATTACTCATTTGAGTTTCAAAACATCATCTGTTGAGCTACCTAGGCTATTAAAAATTATTTTTAAATTGTAACCACTTAGTCATTAGTTTCAACTTACACTATCTAAATCCTGGCGGTCAGGTCGAACTGTCAGTCTCCATTCAGTGAAGGTGCGGAAAATAATCTTGTGCTTGTTAAGTCATATAATCATACTTTGGCTTCTGGCTGGTCTAGTTACCTGAGCTCTCAATAGTTGTTCACAGATTCAACACTTTCCAAATGCTTAGCTCTGGACAGAAAAGTATGTTCACCAACTCTCATACAATAGATGTGGCATACAGTCTAGTACAAAAATAGATGTGCATTTCAATTTGGAGGTTTGTGGCGATTTATTGGTTTTCGGTTGGTATTTATCATCGACCGGTACCAGTTGGAGGAACAATGAAACTCCTCAGAAGTACACAACCATGACCCAGCCCTATCAGAGGTCGAACCCACGACCTTCAGGTCTCGTGGCCAGCATGTTACCAATGAGCAACTGGGCTAGAATTCAATGGTACATATTTCCTCCTTCTGTCAATTCACGATATAGCGCCGCATGCCGTCGTTGAGTGACTATCTTCATGTTCCACTTGGTTGGCCCTACCAACTGAATTGACACAAGTAGGAAATATGGACTATCGGATTCCGACCCAGTGGCTCAATGAGAACGTGCTAGCCGTGGAACCTGAAGGTCCTGGGCTCGATCCCAGGTGGAGTCATGGGTGTGCACTGCTCAGGAGTCTCACACTAGGATGAAACAGCCATCCAGTGCTCTTAGGTTCCCAATGTTCCTCCAACTAATGTCAGTCAATGATGAATACTAACCTGATGTGTGCATCTACCAAACTGTATTATTATTTTAAATTGAGATCACAATGTGACGTCAGTTTATTGAGTAGTGCTGATTTGTCTGTGATACGGAAGCTCTCAAAAAGCTTCCTTTACGATGTACAAAGAGTAACCTCAATAAGGTGACAGTTTCTTACAAATAAAATACATTTTTAATATATTCCTAATCCATTTACCTAAAGCTCAACTTATTCAACTCCATCAGGTCAGATTTTGGTCCTGAAGCTGATAAAATAACATTTTTCTGTTAGTCACTATCATAAAATGTGAAAGTTATACGCTTGATATAATACTAAGGTGTTTATACAGAAAGGAGAGTGTTGGAAATACTTGTTGAACAAACGGCCTGCTAGATGTTAACTTATCGAAGTACTTATAAAGAAGTTGTTATATCCGTACACAAAATGGATGAGAGCAACAACCAACCAATAATGAATGTCCCTCAAAGTTCATCTTTTGCTTGAGTGACTCGGAAGGCCACACTAGCAACTACTGAAATAACCAACTAGACTTCTCTATTTTGAAAAAATCTGCCTTTCCAGCCGAAATGGAGAAACCTAATTGGTCATTTGGATTGTTGCTAGGGTGGCCTTTAAAGTCGCCCTTAAAGTCAGCCTTAAGGTGGGAGTTTAGAGTCACTCCTTTGATTCTCATCCGCTGACACCTCGATTGGATGCATGCCTCTAAGACATCTCGTGCATTTTTTATAAATTTCAATAAATACAATATCCATGTGCCTTGTGTGGGCTATATATATATATATATATATATATATATATATATATATATATATATATATATATATATATGTATAAACCAAGACCGCTTAAACAGGCGACTTTAAAGGTCGCCCTAGCAATGATTGGAATGACCAACTAGGTTTTTGTATTTCGCTTGGAAAAGCCGATTTTAATAAAATATAGAAATCTGATTGGTTTTTTTTAAGCTGTTGCTAAGGTGGTCTTTAGAGTCAGTCCTCTTAATGAGGCGTCTTTAAAGGTCACTCTAGCAACGATCGAAGCGACCAGTTAGGTTTCTTCATTTCGGTTAGGAAGGGAAATTTTCATAAAACAGAGAAGTCTGATTGGTTATTTCAGTTGTTGCTAGGTGGGCCTTCGAAGTCACTCTCTTGAAGGCTCACAAAATTTTGAATATCCTACTGATCTTTACGTATTTGTTCTTTGTTCTCTTGTATTCTTCCCACCTATTTTGCTATTTTCTTACTTCCGTTTATTTCATTCTTTTCAACAGTTATAAAGTATGTGGCGAATTCAACCTTGTTATGTCAATGTATGCAAAAAGTAAGCGTTAGCAAATATCATTGTCTCGGTTCATTTCAAGATATGGACTTACATTTCAATGACGGTGGCATGCTTGATAAATTTAAACAGTGTCACATGTATGTACATGTACTTATATGGTTTAACAAACAAATGACCTCGACGATCCTATTAGTGCAGACGACAAAAGTGCATCTTTATCTATCAACAGACATAATGCGACTTTAAAGGCCACTCTGGCAACTGTTGAAATGACCAGTCGCGTGTCGACATATTGCATACGATAGTAGATTTTCATAAAGTGGAGAAGTCTAATCGGTTATTCTAGTTGTTATTATGGTGGTCTTAAATACAAATACAGTGCTAGGAACTAGCGTTACGTTTTAAAGTATTGCGTGAAAGCATTCAAGAACGAGAGCTTAAATATGACGAAAGCTTGTCAGTCTTTGAATCTACCCACCTCACCCGCTTCCTATTCTATGCAAAAACCTCTCAAGTCCACTTTAAGCCTACGTTGATTTTGGTTTACTTGCCAAGAGGTCTACCATACAGACATGCTGTTTTGGCTCTGCATTTCTATTTTCATGACTGCTATTTCCTTAATACACCTTATTTGGATTGTCATGTGATCAAACTATTCGAAATGTATGGTGACAATATACTGCATGTTTCCGATACTTTTCTTCTTACTGCGTTGCATCACCTCCCTTGATTACCTTTCAGGGGCGGCTTTAAAGGCCACCCTAGCAACGATCGAAATAACAATCAGGTTTCTTCATATCGGCTGGAAATGCAGATTTTCATAAAGTAGGGAAGTCTAATTGACTATTTCAGCAGCTAGTAGGGTGGCCTTTGAAGCCACTCCGTTTCAAAGTTTTGAATCCAAAAGTATGCACAGTGGAAATGATGAAAAAATTTATCTATTGATAAGAACATTTGCACTTTTTGTCCGGATCAAGACAAACAACCACTTTTAAACACAACCAATTATGAACACGTGATCAAATGGAATACTCGTATTTTCGATGACGGGCTTTACAGACCACCTTAACAATTACTGAAATAGTCAATAAGAGTATTTTACGAAAAACCAGTTTGTTCAGCCAAAATAAAGAAACTATTTGGTGATTTCAATAATCAGTAGGGTGGTCACAGACTACGGAGTGGCTTTAAAGGCCACTCTAGCAACTGCTGAAATAACCAATTACATTCTTTTGTTTCATGAAAAACTGCCTTTCCAACCGGAATGCTTAAACCTGATTGGTTGTTCCAATAGTTGCCGGGGTAGCCTTTAAAGTCATCCCACACTGTGCCATATGTTATCCAACATCAAATATGGCCTATTTATTGTTATTCACTGCCACTCGACTTAATGAGTGACTTTTAAAGGTAACTTGTGAAATAACCAATCGGGTTTCAGCATTCTTACCAGAGAGGTAATTTTTCATCATAAAATAAAGGAACGTAATCTTAGCAGTGACTAGGGTGACTGTTAAAGTCACTTGGACTTATTTAAGCCTCAATCACCGGGGCTGTAACATAATTTGGTATGTATCAAGTGTGCGCTACAGATTAACGTGCAAACATATTTGAAGTTACGGAGTTTTTTGTTGTAAACAAGATTGACAGGAATTGGTAACCATTACAAATTTTACGGCAAACTATCGATTATAAACGTGTTATTGATTGGCGTCCTCATATCCCCGATTTACAACTGGTGGTTATCAACGGAGCAGATCACTGATAGCATTTATAACTTAAGTACCAGATGACGCTAGTTTATCTCTCTATTCACATATACCTTTCCCTAAGGCTGAAAATTTGTGTAATGGGAACAGATAAGCATGAAATTTAAACAAGCTCATAATCACAGAATTAATAAACCGTATGATTAGTAATTTTCTTAACAATTCTTACCTGACAAAATGGAATATTTTCCGGCAACAGTTCAGCTAATTGTTTTATCCATGATGAAGGTTCACGTAAGGGTGAAAAATCTGTCACAATACACCCAATATTAGCACTCTGTATTATATTCAACAAAGAGTGTGCAACAGCGTCGGAATAACATTCAGTGTCAATAATATCTGTTTCACTCAATTTACGCTTTACACCTGTCCTCACTGACTGTTGATTCGATATACTCGCAGCAGAGGTAAGGTGAAATGGTATCCAAAGTTCACGACATTCCTGAATAAAAATTTTAAAAAAGGTGATGAATGATTGTAACAAATTACATCTCATAAAAGTGTACAAACCTGTGTGCTAAGACATAGTTTCTATGTACAAATCAATAATATAATGTAATTCCATCAGTGGGAAGTATAAGAAACATTTTGAAAGTGTGATTCAAACTCAACTGTTTATAAACACTAAGATTAAAACAAACATCGCTTTTATGAACAATCAAATAAACAGCGTCATGGAAAAAGAAGCCAAATGAACAACTCCTTAAAACAGCAAACTGATTAAAAAGATAGATGCTAATCAGTGTAACCCATTAAAGTTCACTTTAATAACTCTAATGTTCCTCCAACTGATGACAGTCTATGATGAATTCCAACCTAAAATCAATTAATAAATCTCCATAAACCTCCAGATTGAATTAATCTAGTACTCATTGGTGACTAGCTTCGAGAGGTGATTCCCGAAGTTCAAATGAGAAGTCGTCACCAGTGAAGTCAAGCAAATCGAACATAAGGACAGTTACTTAACGACGACATTGGATAAAGACCGCGCTATATCATGGACTGACAGAAGTAGGGAATATGGACCATCGGATTCCAACCCAGTAGGTTCAATGGTAACGCGTTGGCCACGGAATCTGAAGGTCGTGGGTTCGATCCCTGGTGGGGAAAAGCCGTGTATGCGCACTACTGAGGAGTCCCATACTAGGATGAAAGAGCTGCTCGGTGCCATTAGGTTTCCAATGTTTTAACAACTAATGCCAGTCCATGATGAGTTCCAACCTTAAATCAATGAATGGATCTCCACAAACCTCCAGACAGAACTCCTGAAATAGACAATTAGGTTTCTGTATTTTGTGAAAAACTAACCTTCAAGAGGAAAAAAATAGATATCTAATTTATCAGCTCAATAGTTGTAGGGAGACCCCTTAAAGTCACACCTCAGATTCCATCATCATATTCATGGTAGACCATTGGCGTGATGAGTTATGTTTCTCGGAACGAGACAGAATTCAATGACGAAATAATCTAATGCTTGTGTGACCACTGATTCTAAAGGTCATAACAGCAACTGCCGAAACAACTAATTAGATTTCGGAGTTTTATGGAAAACCTACCACCACAGTCGAGTGACTTTAAAAACCACCCTGGCAACCACTGAAATGACTAATCAGGCTTTGGTAATTTGTCTGGAAAAGTACCTTCCCATAAAATAAAGGACTGTAATTGGCTACCTCATCAGTTGCTAGGGTGGTCGTAATAGTCACCCAAATACACAATGGTGAGCACATGCTATTCAGACAGAAGGTACACACCAGAATGAATCATCATGATTATATTGGTTATAGCAGTTAAAAAATCAGCATGTGTATGTATTTATGACAACCTGGCCTGGTTAACTAGTGCACTAGTCACTAGCTGGTCACTAAACCCGGATAAAGAGGAAAGGTTGGACATAGGACTACCAACCCTACCCCGGAAAACCAATCCAACCGCTAAAGAAACATCAAAGCACAAACAAAATATAAAAATAAAAACAAACTTATTCCTCTCTGGAATCGGAGAGACGAAATGACACCGGTTGGTGAAAGCCTTCCGGAAGCCAATTGGCCGATGTATCTTCTCTTCTCTCGGTGAAAGCGAAAGTAAGAATGGGGACTTGAAGTGTCCACACCATGTATGAACCTAGCAAGGTAGCCCAGATTGCAAAAGAGATAAGAAGGTATAGCATAGAAGTGCTAGGCTAGGAATCTGCGAAAGCAGACGGAATGGAAGTGGACTTTCCCAACTGTCAACTGGAGAGTCAATAATCTACTCGGATATTGTCACCCAAAAGACAACCACTGGGAGTCCGAGGGTGATATGAAGGAGATCACGTGAGGAAGAAATGAAAGGTTCTGGGCAGTCGTGGAACCAGGTTCTAAAGACTGCAGAGAACAGAGTGCAATAGAGACGTGCTACTACTGAAGCCCTATGTTCTACTAGGAACCCAAAGGACAAATAATAATAATGATAATAGTGTAACACACTTATGATCCATGCTTGGTTTGGTGAGAAACTTTAAAGGCCACCACCCTAGCAGCAACTTAAACAACCAATTACGTCTCTTCATCTCACCCAAAAGGTGGATTTTAAGTAAATAGCGAGACCTAATTGGTTGTCAGGAATGTTGCCAAGGTGCCCTTTAGACACATCCAGTTTGGGTTGATGTCTTAACATACAGCACTAGAGTTACACTACTTTTTCTTCCTATATGAGCACAGGCTCACGACTTACAGATGAAATCAAATAAAAATGAGTGACTGTGGTGGTAATCATATAGTTGACCAATCAGGTTTTTATGTTTAGCCCAGGGAGGTGTTTTTTTACTCTAAACAAGGAAAACTTAATTGGCTATTTTAATGGTTAGGATGGATTTCGAAAACACCCATAAAAATGTCAGATATCTTCGAAAGTCATCCTATCAACTTCATACTATTTTGGCCTTGTTTCTTGCCTTGGTGTTAAAAAATACTGCAACATAAGTGTGGTGTTATTAAACACCTTTCAAGTGAAATCGCCAATAAACTGTAATTAGTCATCTGAACAGAATAAATCAAATGCCACCCTAGTAATAAATGAAACAGACAATCAGGCTTCGCCATTTTTGTCGGAAAGGCAGGTTTTCATAAAATAAAGAAGTCTAATTGGTTATTTCACTTGTTGTTTTGGTAGGTCTTAGAGACACTCGTCCTGAAAGATTTCTGTTGAAAAAACAAACGAAAGGGTGACTATTTCACTAAACGTTTAGAGTTAGTTGTGTTTATTCTCTTCGTTGATCAATTTTGCAAACTCTACTTGAACATTAGAAAGATGATCATGATGAATTCGTTAACCAGACTTTTGGAATTAACAAAATTCAAACCAATTATCCGAAGTATGGTAGATGACTTGTCCAGGACAACCTACAAAATCGGTCGTCAACGTGAAATTATAATTTAAGGCCTGAGCGGCACAACATATAATAATGATAATATGCAACTCAGGCTGGTACATGTTTTATGTGCTAGGTTATAAGTCACACGTTGTGTGGCGGCTTAAAATACCTGAGTACCCAAGCCAAAATAGGCGGAATGGAATCTGAACCAAAGACTTATTCATTGTAGAGGATGTATTTTTACTTGTATAATCCCTGCGTAGTATATTAGAACAAATAACAAAATAAACAAATATTTTGTATTATTCCTCAATGTTTCGATCTTGCTAGGAAGATCCTTTTCAAGAGTATGAATCTGACACTAAGTTTTCAGGTTAATATTCAAGTTTTGGTACAGAAAGTGGTGACCTTTACAATCATCCAATTACATAGTGATATGGAGCAAAGATCAATGTAATACAGGTGAGTGAATAAGCAACTCGGTCAGAGAGGTATTTCCGTTGTGCGAGTAGGGTGGAACAAAAATAGGGTGGGGAAATTTTCTAGTTCGTCTATGGAAAGTACAGTGGGGTTGTGAGACATCAAGGTGAGGAAGAATAGATTACTAGTTTGGAAGGACGAATATTTGAAGATGAGACAATATATCTTAAATAAATAATAACAATATAAAGACTTATTGTCTGAAAGTCGAGTGTTTAAACAATGGGACTACCGATCAACATAATACAAGAAACAATTATCGGAGTAACTGACACATACACATCACACTAAACACTGTTTAGTGAAGTAGAAACCATCCCCTATAAAGCCGGGAGTATTATTTTCACACCTCTCATAAAGACCTACTGCGCGCGGTTGTGATTCCAAATTAATCCGATAACAAGATGAATAATCCCAAGCAGTTTACATTAGTTTCTTCTCTTACTACTACCATTACTACTTCTATCATGTGCACAATTTACAGTAAAATTTTGCCTTACCTAGTTAGTCATTACTGTCCAATAACAAGACAGTCATATCTTACATTTATAGACGTTTAGATTCAATAAATTAGCTACTATTTGACTGTCTGGGTTGCTTGGGAAATGCTAGTAAACAACAAATTTATTCTGGATATTCAAAAAGACTGCACCACATAAAATGTTGTTTCACATCTGAATTCCAGTGAAATTTATGAGGTAAACACAAACTGCCGTTCAAAGTAGTCTCAGAAAAGAATTTGTTTGTCACTTAGAAAGAAAGAGTCGACGAAAAAAGGATGTGAATGAAACAAAACTGTTAAGCTTGAAAGTATTTTCATTTCCAGTGAACAAGAACTCACAACTCTGAGACTATACAAAGCACAGTTCACTTTTAACAGCTTTCCAAACCTAAAAAGCTTCTCCACTTTCATGTTGTCAAATTCGAAATCTCGAAACCTAGAAGCTATTTTAGTTTGAATTTGATGCCGACTAACGAACATTACTCAACTGTAGTCCTCTTCATACCTTAGGTCTCAATTAAGATCTCCAATAACAGGCTTAAGAGGCGAATCTATACCTGGCTTTTATGTTCTATGAAAAGATGTACAATTTCAAGTTATAACTGTAGAACACGATGAGAATTCATTAAAAAGAACGTTCCTCGTTCAGATTTAATTCCAACGATAGAATTGACAGTCCTACCAAGGGCAATATGATCAGATTTCTGGATATAATTATCACTGACGATAGTTCTTATTCGGAACGATGGTGATAACAGATATTGTATTGCTTTTGGGATATGAGAAAAGCCTGACAAATTAGTAAAGTTGAACAAATTCACCTTTTGTGAGTAGTCAAATATGCTATTAGTTGGCGAAGAATGACATCCATCATAAAGTTCACTTGAATGACTTTTTTTAACTGAGAACTTTAAGTTTGGATGGTCGGAAATACCCTATTTTTACAAAATAAACAATGTACCACGTTTACAAGGGGCAATAAAATGCAAAATCTTTGTTCCAGTACAGATATGATTTATTTTTGTGACCACTATGCAGTTTATCTTGTTGTGAATGGATGTGAACTGTGATAACTGGGTTAAGAAGATAACGAGATCACCTTTAAGGTTAACACGACATTCTGATATGATGATATTAGGATTAGACTTGATATAGCTCAGTAATCATAGATCATATGACCAGAATTGATGACTGACTGCTCAAGAATTACGACTATCCTGAAAAACTGAAGTAACCGTTAAGATTGATAAACAGACAGATAACTTGTCATCGCATTATACATTTAATGAAATAAAACGGATAATCACACACAAAGGATGAAACCAGTTACCACTCTAGTAAAAAAAACATATATCTAAAGAGAAGACAAACGTCACTAAGCAGCTAATAACTTCTTACCGAAGACAATAAAACTACCTTTCTATTACAATATTAGTCTTAGACAAATACTTCTGTAGATAAATAAGATGTAGAGAAGTTTTCAAGAAACAATAAGACTGCTAAACCTTCAATAAAAATTGTGGTGTCCAGGCCACTAATATAAGATGAATGCATAGTCAAGATATTTTCTCTGCTTACAGTATAGTTTTACATATATTAGATAAATTAGCTTGATAAGTAGTACAGAGTGATACGGTATTACTTAAAGGTGAAGTAAAATAAAAATCTGGTCAGCACTCGGACCTCTGAGCTCTTAGTTGGTAGAGCCCCGGGCCAGTAACCCGGTGGTCCCTGGTTCAAATCCGGCTGCGGTCCGAATTTTTATTTCACCTTCAATCATCACCCAGTATACATACTAGTCTGACAAACTACGGCTATCCCAGACAGTCAAATGATAATCAGTATGATGCTGCCCCTCTTTGATTCAGTTAGATTTGGATTGGGATGAGAAGTCATGACTAGGCAGCCAGTGTGAATACGGTCAAGCGGTAGTAACACATCACGAATTCACATGGTAGTCGGTCAAAACCCTTGGTGATTGAAGTGACTTCTTTCGAGTGCTCAATAAGTGCTAGATTTTGGGGATGCTGATAGTGACAACTACAGATGAGCCGATACTACCGATCAAATGTATGAAAGGATGTCAAAACAGGTACAATATATCACTGATCCAACACGAAATGACTGAGTAGTTGCCTTAGAGAGGAAGACTGACGTGATAATACGACAACTGACGGCTTTACAGTGGCACAGATGGCCGTAGAAGTGCTCCAAAAGTAGAGCCAGTAGTGGTGACAAAACTGCGCGTAGAGCTACGTTAAAAATTAATATAACCCGGTATCGTTGAAAGTTGAAAAATAAAGCCTGCTAGTGTCTGTCAGTATTTGAGTCAGTGAGCATTGCTGTCACCCGCATAAAGTTAACGGATAAGAAGATGGAGCTACAATTCCTGATTTCTGCTAGTGCTGAAGACACCGTCATTCTATTATTTACTATATCAGATAGACTAACCTAGTACATAATTATACGCCGCCACACCACCCGAATTCTGTACTAACATGACAGTTTCTCACATATTTTGCAAAATATCCTTATTATGAAAAAAGACAATATTTTATCCAAGAGTACAACATTTTGATTCTTTTCATATGCGGCATGTGATCATATAATAAAGACATCCTTGATATTATTAACCTTATTACAGTGACGGAACACTGTTGGTTTGTGGTGCTTTTAGTTCCCTGACTAAAGTGTCAACCAAACAGGAACAGCAGCTTATTCGATGCACACGGACATCACATCTAGAAAGTGCACTGTTGTGAACCAATTGTAAAAACCGGATAGTCTTTAAGTGATTGACATAATGTGCATATTTAGAATCTTGCACATGAGAAAATCCACTAAGTCTTGATTGCAATTCAGAAAAACAAATTGTGCTAAACTTGTTGTAAAATAAGTTAATATGTTCTGCGGTTGTATAACAAAAATGCATGGTGAAACTTTTAAGCATGCCAAGCATAAGACTGCGAGCAATGGTGCGTAATAAAAACAAAGATAAAGGGCGTTGGTGTAGGGGGTGACAGCCAGCAACTACTGTCAAGACTTTTTGAAGAAGCCAACATGAAACAGGCAACGCTTAATAACATCACACTTAAGTACAGATCAGTGATGAACTCTTACAAAAGGAGGTTCAACAAGTATCTTGGTGCTTTCCAGTCACATAGTATCCAACAAGTTTGAATGGAGTAAATGACATCCAATTGCAAACTACGTTTAGAAAGTTGTAACCTTTCAGAAGAGATGAACAGTAGAAGCAGATAATGGATAAGCTCTGAAATGGTATTTTCTGAAGGTTGGGACAACTGAAGAATAATTTTGGGACAAGAGTCAGACATAATTCTTCCCTAAATGGTTTTAAACGAATACTATACATGCTTAGAAGAAAGAAGAGAAATCATGAAGGATATATTATAGAATACAGTTCTAAGGACTTCTGAACACATACATGACCAACCAAAGGTAAACTGTAACTTTGTAAAAAGAAACAGAAGAAGGCATATGTTCCAGAGTATAGTGGTATGAGTACTGACCGGATCTCTTAACTCCATCAGTCTCTGGAAAAGGGTATGGCTTTTGAGATACGATCAGCAATACTTTTCCTGACATGAATTAGAAATGTAACTCTGAACAAGAATTTTTGTTTTTATATCTAAGATGGATGCAACGGAAGTTGTGAAAAGTTATTATCAGTATTGAAAGGAAACATTACCATTTTTGTGAACAATCAAAACGATACAAGAGTTTCCTTACTTTTAACACCTAAATGATTGATAATCTGTGAGGACAGAAACTAAACAACTAAGAGTATATGTATGGATTAGGCATGCTAAAACAAATTGTGATACAGTATAAAGTCGCCTAAACGTCTTGAGTTATAAGGCTGGATAGCAGTGAAGCATAGTTTGGCAATAAGAAGTAAAGTGGCTGTATCAATTTTGATGAGTTAATGATCTAAAGACACAAAAAGCTTCTTGAACAGATGATAACCTATACCACTAACGGAATTGGGGAAAGTGAATGCTTAGCGAAAGATAAATGTATCTGCAACAGGAGTTACCTTTTCTCCTCCTTTTTACATTTACTAAAGAGTGAATGACATATAGAGACTAAAAGTATTGGACGCTTAGTTTCCCCAACAGCATTTCTTGTAGGGTGTATGCTAAGCCAAAAACTAAGACAAAATATACTACTGACAGGAATAGTAAGAGACTGTTGACAGATATCCAGGATGTACTTAACAATAATAGTTGCAGACACAGTGGTGCTTATTGTATTCATACTTTATTCATAGACAATGATGCTTACTTTTTCCACTTCTTTCAATCCACCAATCATAAATGTATAGTGTCGTAGTGTTTTAGCTTGAAATTTTGGAACTAAGCAAAAGCCAACATGTAATGGGACTTTAAATTTCAATGCCAAGCGTTGAGCAAATAAGAAGGCCCAGTTATCTGTAGAAAAATTTAGATAAAGTAGGGTGAAACATTATGTTTATTAGTGATAATTTTCCTTAAAATATAAAAAATATATATCTTAATGTAGCAGAAATTTAAAAAAATTCAAAAATAACTAGAAAAATTATTATTTGTCCCTTGGGTTCCTAGCGGAACATAGGGCTTCAGTAGCACGCCTCCATTGCACTCTCTTCCCTGCAATCTTTTCAACCCGCCTCCACGACTGCCTACAACCTTTCATTTATTCCTCACATGATCTCTTTCATGTTACCCTTGCCTCGGACACTCAACTCGTCGTTTCCCTTTTCGATTCCACTCAAGGGCCTGTCTCATGATGTCTCCGAATGGTATTCCCAGTCTATGCCCAATCCATCTGCACTTTTTCCCTCTGGATATTTGTTAGGCGATAGCTTTTTGCTTATTCTTTCTGGTCATCTGGTCTTCACTATAGAGTGAGGGTAGGCGGCGGCTGTTGATGAATGTCTCAGTTTGTTGGAAATATTTTTCGTAACGCACCAAGCATCTCAACCATCACATAGAAGCACTGACTTACTTGACTGACATTAGTGTTCAAAATCTGGATCTTGTTCACGCTTTATGCTGAGTGCAGTATATCTCCACACTGCTTTCAAATTAATGCAGCAAAGCCTGTCTTGCTGTCTTTCCGATCCTAACTGCTTTGACATCCTCATCTGTGCCGCCACCGCCGCCGCCTGTAGTTGAAACGATGCTACCTAGGTAGGTAGGTAGGTAGGTAGGTAGGTAGGTAGGTAGGTAGGTAGGTAGGTAGGTAGGTAGGTAGGTAGGTAGGTAGGTAGGTAGGTAGGTAGGTAGGTAGGTAGGTAGGTAGGTAGGTAGGTAGGTAGGTAGGTAGGTAGGTAGGTAGGTAGGTAGGTAGGTGGAAGAGACTACTTCCTTTAGGTTTCTCCACTTAATGCTGATTGATGCTTGTTCTTGGTTGGGTATCTTCATCACCTCCGTCTTCCCTACATTCACTTGAAGTCTCGTCTTTCCTCGCTGCCCTGACTCTTCTTTCAACTTGTTGCTTTCTACCTGTAGATCTTCGACTTTGTGCGACAAAAGACACTAGACACAAGTCATCATCGGCGAAATCCAAATCTTATAGAGTCTTTTCATCAGTCAAACAGTGTATCCTCATCTTCTCACAGCTCCTCACGCTTTGCTGCGTGATCATCCACTCCTGTCCAGTCGACCACAATCAGGAAGATCATCGGTGATACTAGGCGACAGCCTCGTCTTAGTCTTACTTACTCCTGTCTTCACTTATAACGCATCACTGAGCTTCCCATTGTCAATCACTTCGCACGTAGCCTCATCATCACATAGCTGTTGAATGAGATTCATGAACGTTTGTGGCACTAAAACTGTAGTGTTGAAGCTGCTACCTGCCAAATTACTTCTCAGTCGATGCCTCGATGGAAAGCCTTCTCAAAGTCGATAAATTTGAGGTAGACAGTTGCCATTCGACTATTCTATACTCTGTTCTATGATGATGCACAGAGTACCGTTGCAATTCCATCCCAACATGATTCGTACTTCCTCAACCCAGTCAGCCAGCCTGTTCCGGTCGTAATTTTGAATCCACCGCATCTTCTAGTCTCTCCAGGATGATGCAACTTCATATTTTGCTTGAGGTGGACAGCAACACCATTCCTCGCCAGTTCCTGCAAACACTTAGGTCTCCCTTCTTTCGAAATTTGACAAGGTAGCCCTTCTTCCAATCAATCAACAGGTACCTACCTACCTTTCCTTCCTTCTTTCCTTGCAAACCTTCTGAAGTTGTGGTGTGAGCATATCGGCTGATGTCTCTGAGTCTGCTCTCAGTGCTTCTGGAGGAATTCTACCTGGTCCTGTTGCTTTTCTGGCTTTCAGTAACTTTATGGGGTTCCGGACTACTACTTTTGTCGTAGGGCTTGTGTTCACTGGTAGTTCTGGGGTTGCTGGTGGTATTTCTGGACGAGTTGCAAAAATTATTATCCAAAATACTAACCAGTACGCTGATAGATAGAATCGATAAGGTAACACAGAAGATAACTCTTTTGATGCTTTTCTCCATCAATGAAATGTGCGAATTGTAAATACTATGATATCTCTCACCACAATTAACAACATCGGTTCACTCAATTAAAATATACAAAGAGATAGTAAGGTATACAAGAACATCGCCAGTCTAGTAATGCTTTTTTCTTTCCTTCAGATTCTGTTGAATTTGGTTGTTTTAGTATTTTATTTCTGTGAAGTATGAAGTAAACCCGATATGGACAAGACTCTGTGTCAACTATTTGATATGGTCAGGTGACGAGAATCGTTAGCATCACAGAATGCAGCCGACAAGATGATTAAATTTTTGTTTTATTCATCAAAAAGAAGTGCTTTACTATTAAAACAGAAAATAGGTAAGCATATATCTCCGTAAAATATTGTAAACAATGTTCACTGTGGCATATAACTGGCACTAAACCCCTGATTTCAAGCTTAGATATATATTGCTTCAAACCAATCATGCGTGAAGATTTCTAAAAACCAGTTAGTCTAACTAAAGGTCGGAGCAGCTGGTTTTCAAAGAAAACTATCTTTAAAAGCGAATTGTGACAATTATGTGGTGAAATGATTAAAGATATGCAAACCTTGATGAAATCTTATCACGAAACAAAATGGTTTAATTTAAGATGATTTTCTAGAGTAATTAATGTAGTCACATAGCAATGAGACTTCCAAAAACTACATGGAGATTTATTTCATAGATTATTGGCTACACCTAATAACGGCAGCTAAAATCAGCCTACACATTTGCATATGAACAGATGGTCAGAAAAAATCAATGTAGGACTTCACAACATCATTTAACAAAAAAAATACTTAGAAGAAGGTCATATTGAATTGAATAAAGGGTGCATGAGAGAAGACGCAATTTGAAAATCAAGGTTACCGAAAACGTTCAAACATTACTAGACTGTGAAGGGTGAATACATCTACACCACTGTGACTGATTCCCCAACCAATAATTCCTGTCTTCTCGAGGATCCCAACCAAGTAGTCAACACCGTGCATGGTTCAGACTAACAGTCAGGGAATTCATTATACTAACACTACTTCTTGATCTCACCATTTTGAACCTCCTTCCAACACAAGTCTACTTCAGCTAGCACTGTATGTTGAGATAGATGACGTCTCAAAATGAACAACATATGTCCAAGGCATCCTAGTCGCTGAAGGTTCACAATATCATTGACTGATTTGACTTTCTTCTTTAGAACCCTTCGCCTGACCTCAATATTGCTCACATGGTGATTTCACTATACCTGCCCAATGCCACGAAGACACCTGTGATCAAAAACTTGTAACCGCTTCATATCCTCTACACTCAACGGCCATGTCTCACAGCCGTCTAACTGAACAGGACGGAGTGCAGTATACTCGTTCTTCAACATCATCATCATTATCAACATAGGACCAGGCATTACTGCGTAACGGTCCGGGTTGCCACACCTCATATCAGCACATCAAGTAAAAAGGTAGTGAGGCAGTCAGGTTTCTCACCAGAGGCGAAGATGATATAAGTTCCCAAATGTCAAACGGGCATTTTGTATCCGACCTGATATTTCACCAACAACCAGTCCGTTCAATCTGATGCAGCTCCTCAAGTGCAGTGATCAACACATTCAACCTTCACACCCTATCTCTAAACTGGAAGTTCTTGTGGACCAGTCCTGAAGCATCATCCTACACTTGACACGTCTAAGAGAAACACATACCAAACATGCTCAGGTTTCTGTTCAAAACGTTCAGAAGACCCTGTATTTGTCAGCGCTCCCACCTAACTGGACAATATCGTCTGCATACTCAAAGTCAACGAGATGCCCAGCTCCAGTTAGACGTCATATAGATATGTAACCTAGGATCTTGGAGATGATGTTAGTCAAACTGGTTCTTTCGAGGTTGTCACAAGAATACTTCGTACTTTTTTATAAACTGATGATTAGCGACCTAAACCAGTTTGACGGGACTACCTCTGATTCGCATACACTACTTAGTACCTCCGTCACTCTAATCAGCAATTTCTTACCACCATCCTTTGGAAATTCTGGTGGCAAACCATCAAGTACTGCTTACTTGCACTGTTACATGTTAGGAACAGCTTTCTCAACTTTAAAGAGAGCTGGAGGACGGACAGACATCCACATCCTATTCAGGTTCGGGTCGGATGCTGGTCAACTGGAGCGTTATTGTGGGTCAGTGTAACCGGACTTTGAAGAGTTCTGCCTAACGTTCTAGTCGTCTGTCCTGAAGGGTTATCAAGTTGCCGTGCTTTTCGGTGGCGTTTCCACTCATCAGTGTCTTCGAATTGCCACTAGTTTTAATCACCCTAAATAATTGCCGAGCATTACCGAGTGCCTATGCCTTTTTACTCCATCTCTCTCGTTTTCGCCACCCACCGCTGCTCGGGGTCATTGCGAAAACTTGAGCTACTTTCACTCCTCGTCGAGGTGGCACCCAACTAGAATGAAACTTTTGGCACCAATCAATTTGCATTGGGTTGCAAAAATCCATTGACGTTTGCTAACTTTTAGATGTTGGTTACCAGCTTTCTTTTTACTACTGTTTCTAAAGTAGACTGAATATCCCACGACGCTTCTTCAGGATAAGAGATGTTTCAAACTTGGGATTAAAAACCGAGTGAATAAACTGAATGAGTAATTGACAAAATACAATTCAGTCAAGAAATTCCGCTTTTAGTAGATTCATATTCAGCAGCTGTACATTTGTATTCATAGTTACGAGGAGATATGTACACCAGTGACTATAATATAAGGCCATCAAAAATTGTTTCTATAATGAAAACGTAATGGCTAAGAGGTTATTTCGATGGCTTATAACATAAGACATAAGTGAGGTTAATCATACAGTTAAATGAACTGTTCACTACAAAACAAAATCCAAAAAAGTGGATATGCAAGGAAATCGTTTTAAGTAAA